CTGCCATGGAGTGAATGAAGATCGACAGTGGTGCAGCTTTTGTTCAATTAATACTGACGTCTCCATACAGACTCGTTCGCTGCACACAGGAGATGCATAAGATAATGAACAATATTTTTCACAGCCAAAAGGCAGGATTGCCCACAATCTTTTCCTTCAAAATTCCTTCATAAACACATATGCATCATAGTTTATTTTTTTCTACACTCAAAAGGCGTGCTTAACATCAAGATTTGTCACTTGCACACGGTCTATATGGGCAAACCTGAATGTCGTTTATAATTTTTTCTTTGAAAATTAATCCGATTTTAGAAAGGCAATAAGAAACAGACAGGTTATTTGTGCATTATCTCATTTTTTATTTTGTGCATAACTCATGAAATAAAACATATTTTTGACAACTTTACAAACATTTTATGTTTCATTGTGAAATTTGTCTTTTTTGTCCTGCAATTCGCTTGTATTTTGCACCTACATTCCATTAATAAGACGCAAATTCAGAAAAGCTCATTTGCATTCGTAAAATGATGGGCTCCTTTTGTTCATGTAAATAAATATGCCTTCAAATTAAACAATTTAATAAATTCAAGTGTGCTAGTATTGAAAAAGTTGTGCTGAATGGACGGCATCCAGCAAAATGCAGAAAACGCCTAGTTATTGTTTTTCGATGGTGTTTACCTGGTTTATAATTTCTGTAGCGACAAACCTGAATTTACAGGGAATAGTAGAGCAAGTGGAACAGTGATTGAAGTTAAAAGCTAATTAGCATTTTATTTAAAAATCACGTACAACGTATAAAGGAATTTTAAAATTAAACATGGTCATAGGAAAAAAATGTTGTCTGCGTTCTACGGTGTGCGAAAGACCAGATCGACGGTCATCTACGCGAAGCATTGAATTGCTAGCATCGCCAAAATAACAGCGACAACAGTAGACATCAACGTGGAAGCCGAATTCGTGACGCATTGTTTACGATCACAGTGGGTATCCGCAGGGCAGGCTGAGCAACTTTGTCCCTTTTGATACGGTTTTTCACCTTGTTTATTGCCACTTGGAAGATAAAAATGTACATAAGTTTCAATTTACAAATGCTTAAATGCATCCAAACTGTAGATCTGTTTACTTAAAAGACACTGTCCAGAAAGACTGAACTAATATCGCATATTTGGCATTCGATTTAGTAATCGCGCGTTGACATGCTTGGCAAAGTGATTGTTTTTCCAAGTCCTTTTCCAAATAAGCGGATTTGTAGCTTACGCGGGTTTGTAGAAACAGACCATGAGAGTAGTCTGCTGACTTGCTTTCTTGGATGCAGATGGTGCTGATGTTGTAGATGTTGTAGTCTCTTTGGAAACAGTCGTTGTAGTTGTAGGTTCTGTTGGTGTAGTTGTAGATTCTGTAGATGCAGTTGTAGATTCTGTAGATGCAGTCGTAGATTCTGTAGATGCAGTTGTAGATTCTGTAGATGTAGTCGTAGATTGTGTAGATGTAGTTGTAGATTCTGTAGATGTAGTTGTTGTTTCTGGATTCGACTCCTGATTGGGGCATTTCTTCATTGCACATCCGACCATAGTGGTGGTAGCCCACACTACCTAATTTGACAAAATAAAGTCAGTTTAATAAAAACCAATTCTCTTGAATTAGAGGTGCAGTCTTTTTGCATGTGTAGTTTTTATTGCACTTGAAAGCAGCCAAAATAAATATGAGAAATGAAACGGCGCATGACAACATTTTACTTGAAACCTCATCAGTCTGCTTGTGAATTTCTCCTTATAACCTAACTGACGCAACACTTTTTTTCAATTAAAGTAAAAAAATATTACTCGAATTTTTGTAAGACCAATATAAGTTAGTTTAGTTGAGATAGAGTACCTACCTGCTTGTAGTTCGTGCAGCTATCGCTACCACAACTATCACTTTCATAATCGAACTTTGCGCCTTCCACACCAAATGTAGCAATCATGTTAGCAAACGTTGGATTCGCATCTGAAGAGACAGCCTTGGTCATCCCAATGTCATTTTCGGTGTTTGTCTTATCAGACTGGCAACTTTCGACCCACGTTTCTGCCTTTTTTTCCAGATCCTCAGAGTAGCTCTGAAGAGTAACATGGCATTAGCTGAATATATACATTCAACAGCAACAATTTTGTTAATCAGCTGTAACAAACAGCTCTGACCAACGTTAGCACGAGGATTTTCAATTAACTTACCAGCATCATCATGTTGCTGGCAGATATCTTGACGCTTTCACGTATCTTTGAGTGCGCATCCAGGATGGACTTGCGGTCAGTCTCATTGACAACACCGAAAGCAACACACCACGTCAAGGCAAATACAAAAATTAGATTCTTCATGATGCCTACAAAACAAATAGTTTAATATCAGAAACTAACCTGATTCCTTAGAGGTTAGTTGGAACAAATTGCTCAAAACCGGATGAGAGCTACCTCAACTAACAGCGTTGATCTCGCAACAAATACGTGTATATATTTGTGGACCACAACGCACATGATTGGCTTAAGCAAGGGTGTGTCAATTTATGCTCTATAGAAACTTAGACACTGTTTGACAAGAGGGGCTTATTGGTTTATTAAGCATTGGTGTGTCAATTGATGCAATATTGGAATTTGGGGGTGTAGGCAAATATCGTGGCTACTCACAAAGTAATGTGAATTAAGCAAAACATTCGCAACGCCATGCTCTCAATTACAGGGGATGTTATACAGGTATTATTTAAATTCTCAAGAAGAATGTTACTCAGGGTTATTTATATTTTACACCAGTGTGTCTCGATCAATGTTACCGTTAGTTAGCTTCACTATTAAATCCATTATTTCACCAATATTAACATAATGCTTGCACTCTTTTACGATTTCCAGCTATCCTCTAAGACAAATGCGCAGAAATATCGAAAACGTGGTAATGATGCAGTCTTGTAAGAGCTGCCAGGTTAAGCTTTGATGAAATATGTGCGTTTGACTTTTGCTTTCTACTGAACGTAATTCTTACGATAAAAATCAATTTGCTATCATACTTCTGCTAACAAATTCGGCAACCTTAAGGTATCTATGCGCTTAACTTGAAATTACTAACAGCAAAAGCAATCCCATGATTTGGTGCAATGATAAGAACATAACAACTGACAATTGATCTCATCAGGTTAACAATGTAAACACATTGGGATTCCCAATAATCCCTACATTTACCCTCTGGATGGATTTCGAAATACATTTGCAGCTGTTTGCCTCCGACAAGTTTAATTTACCGTTTTTATGCATCCGCATTCAAAAATCGCCAGCTCGTAATTGCAACACACTTGTAAATCATTCCTGATTTAAAGAACTGTTACATAATACCTTCGTTTTCCACCTATTTATAAGAAATGCCTTGGTAAAATTAGCCTTTCAAATTAGAAGGTGTTCCGATAAGGATAAAAAAAATTCCGTCTAGGTACACAAATACTTCATTTAAAACTGTATCTGTTAAAATGCATGCAGACCAATTAGACGTTTTCTTATATTAGTCACGGAAATTCCATCAGTGCAGTATCAAAAAACGCTTTTGTGCCAACTAGACGCAGACAATTTAATTCTGAGTTGGACTAGATCGTTCAACATGACCATTGCTACGCGCATTTTAGATACAAAATGGTGCAGCATTGAACTGAATTAAGGAGAGTTAAATTGAATTTATTCGCAGCTTCATGTCATGCACAAGCCTTTCTGGACAAATTATCTCAGTGCTCATGTTGCAACGTGTTAATTGTCACCACTGATTCTGCTATATTTGAGTCCATAACCTTTGTTGTGCTAAATCAACCAGCAGAACGAAGTGGGAAAGGAAACGAGCACCAAATATTGGGTGCCTAACACAGTCACGGTTATAATAAAGGCACTATATCGCGTCAGGCCTAGGTCTAAGCTGACTAACTTTTGGCCACACGTTGCAACAGAATAATTGTGAACGCCTTGAATTTGAAGACCGAAAGCTTTAAGGTGGCGTTTCCCAGAAATCACGATAACACTTTCACCTGTTTCAATCAAAAATTGTAAACTGCTCAGTGAGTCGGCGAAGAAAAATAGGCTATTAGAACGAGGACCTAAACCAGTCGGCCTCGCTTCCCAAAATTTAAAGGCTTGGGAAGGCTTGAAGGCTTAGGATGATTGTATTGGTTTTTCTAGTTTTGTGACTTGTTACTACACCATTGATGGTACCAGCATAGGCAAGAACATTCGTCATAATGGATTAATTAAGGAAAACGTAATAAAGAACGTAGGCGACGCAGCGGATGTCTGTATATTCTATTCCGACTACCTCTCATGTGTTCATCAAATGTCAGTGACAGTTTGTCAACGTACTCTTCCAGTTGACTAATACTTAAATTATAAGTGCTAGTTTGGCACCAGAGGCGATTGTCCCGTGACCAAGTCCTTGGGATTTACACTCGTAAATTTAATTAGCTATTTCAGCGAGTTTCTCTAGCTGAGTGTCAGAGGTCTGGATTGAGAATATGGCATTGGTGTTCGCCGGGAGTCACTCAGCACTCGGCTGGTGCAGAACGAAAACATTAAAAGTGTTATCATCGGCCAAGTGGCCCACATGCCTAGGAAGTTGTTAAAGAGACCTGTCACCTAGTTCAGTACCAGAGAAGAGATGCACAAGACAGGCCTCGTTCAAGCTATTCGTCCGTGCAACAACGGCAGTTTTAGCAACAAAGGCAGTTCAACCAGATCAATGCGTTTACTCATGTTTAAATGCGTTTTAATTTGAACAATATGCACCCATCAATACTTCGACAGTTCTATCGTTTTGGCTTTTGGCCTTGTGTGAACAAATTAATTAAACTGCACAATTCAGACATTAAGGCACTTGTGCTTTCGTCTCAATAGAATACAACGTGTGCTTTCTTGACTTCAAAAGTACTCGATTAAATGACATCCACCTTTCAAATGAAGGAGCAGTATGATAAATCTAGAGTATGTGTTTGGCAAAGACGAAGTCATCTTCAAATTTTAAACCTCTGCCTTCCACGGGATCGCTTGGCTTAAAGCAATATTATCATCCAACCTAACTTTAAGTGGAAAGCATGGGTTACTACCATGTTCTGATCATGTTAGCTATGCGCATTATTAACGTGCGGACATTTTTTTTGTCATTGGTAAATGTCATTCATTGCAAGTGATTTTAAGCAATTGATTTTTTTTCCGTGGCTTAAGATGTACCTAGCAGCGCCATTTGGGTAGACAGCGAGATTTCCACCAACATCTAGCATAGTTATTTTGATTAGCATTTGCGTAAAATGAGGAAACAAAACGACTCCCTAATTATTACGGAATCAGCACGCTTACATTACGCTGATGTTTCTTTAAACTCGGTCCCACTTGTGAAAACAAAATGCGTCTTTGTTGAAGTTTTTGAAAAAAAATATTTTATTCATTTCTCCCAACTGCAAATAGGACGACAATGAAACATTATTAGCAGTATTGCTTTCGTATTTTCGTAATTTGTGTTTGCTCATAATCAGAAAGTTGAAAGTAACATAATTACGTGATTGGATTTCTTAATTTGTCAGTTTATGCAACAAATTGTCCTTAATAACCTAATAAAATAAACTTGATTTTTTTTAATTTTTGCTTAAATCTCATCAAAGATCATTATAATTTTGAAACATTGCTTCAGTCTGCGTCTTCGAATGGAATATTTCCAAATGTCAGACATAATGGTATTACATGCAGACAAGCACCCTTCAAGTCAGTTAAATAACCCTTAGGATAATTCAAGTGTGTGCGTCTGCCATACGCAAGGGGTTGAAGCTTAAAGCAACACCACAAATGGTTCAGTGCAAACATGGCAATCACCGACACATATTAAGATTTACTATCTCTCATCTGTTGTCGATTAAGCGATAGTTGCCTGGTAAACGTTGCTTTTTATTAGGGATGCCTAAGTTCTTCATTATGATAATGCAGGTCTATGCTTGGTACTTTCGTAATCATTTTCCACTCGAGAGAAGCAGTTATTATTTGTGATTTGCAGACTTGGCTGCAGCTAACTATGTATTAAAATTTGGTCAACATATTCTTGCATTCACTCCCGACATACCCACACTTTACAGTAAAACGGTGACATAAATCAATAATCAATTGTTCGACTACATTATTTCAGTTTCTACTTGTTGCTAGCTCGATAAACTAAATGTCCAATTTAGTTTCGATTACGTTGAACGATTTATGTACAATACCTCTAAATGTTTGATTTATAAATCGATCACTTAGTAGACAACATTTGGTAATTCTTACCGCGTGATATTCTATTGATAATATCGGTTCCAACACACCAACGTCTAACTCATACTACCGTACTGAATGCGACGTTTGACAATTATTGCATGAAAAGTGGCAAATGTCAACTTGATAGCTAAAGGAACATTTTTCGTGATCAGCAATAGATCTTTCGAGGCTTGTTAAGGACTATGTCCTTTAACGGCCTTTTTGAATGGTAACAAGTACTAATGTCTTAAATGTTTTGTTTGCTTACCAAGGGAGCATTGACTGACGCGCCTATACACTCTCATCCGTAAGAGAGGCACATTTTACATCTGTTTAAAATGGCCAGAAATATAGCAGGAAGAATAAGGATGATTTCGACTTAAAAGGATTTACACCAACTGGAGAGTTTTTCTGCATCAGTTAGGGGAAAACCGGCGCTTAACACAGTGATTCAGGAACCACAGATTGGTGCAAAGTTATGTTATGAGACCTATTTCGCGAAATTCCCGACGAATGTATTTGAATGATAATGATCGCCTGTATACCAATTGCGCCAAAATGCCGAACATTTTCAGGATTGTGTCCAACGGTGCATGAAGACTAATGGTTTTTATTTAATATTAAAATATACAGTCTCACCTCTTAAATCATTTTACAAAAAAAGTATATGATGTTGTTTGGCATTATTGCAGGTAATGGGATGATTTCTACATGTGTCTCCAATTGCAACAATTTAAACCATCATTGGAGACTACATTTAGTTATCTAGTGAAACAATACACCAAGCTATAAATTTCAAGTATACTGACACCCGTGGTCTCGTCTGGGAGACACGCAACTTGAGCAATCTTGACTGCAAAGCCACCACGTCAAATCGTCTCGCCAGGTGAAGTGACTGAGTCTTGTGTGCCTTCAAGGGTGTGTCTCTGCCAAAAATAAAACAGTCATTCTGATTACGAAAGCCTTGCCACACCCGGTGAGCTTCAAATTGTTCAATTGACTCTAACAAATATGGTACTGAAGAGATTTCAAATCAACGGTAGGCAAAAATCAAATGATGCTACCTGTTATGAGTCAAATTCAGTTTAGCACATTAAATTGCCTGTTCGACAAGCTGCATTGCTTTCCTGGTCACTGGAATTATATTTTACAGTCGGTAAATAAGTGTGTAGGAATAAATCTTCATCTCTTTAACTGTCTTATTTTTGGCAAGCACCACAGGTGCCAAAAAATCGCCATCAAATTTATTTAACATCGAAGGCTGTGCAAATTGGACCGGTTTTCATTCTAAGCGTTGTACTGCTGAAGCGAATTATCGAAATTTTTATAAATGCAAACTTATGTTCAAGTAAAAGACTGCCTTAATTTACTAAAAGAAGCTTCGTTTTTTTAGGTATTACCTATATTTTTTTTCCATGGCTAGGCAAAAAATGGGCTTTTTGATCAGTACTCAACCAAATAATATAAGTGTTTATTGGTAGCCCTCTCTGTAATTTAATTGCCTAATTTAACTTTGATACATTTTGCACTGACATATAGAAAAAAATCGACTTGACACATGATTCCCGCAAAAATGCGTGCAACTGTACAAATAATAACGTCAATAGTATGTTGGCTTCACAGCAATTCAACCCACGTATTTAACGCAATCATCCACTTCAGTTACATTTCTCGATTAATTTTCTTTGAACTGGTTTCAAAACAACCTTCACGCTTCTAATTTGGTAGTCACATTTTTCCATATTCAGACATGAACTCCAATTCTGCACATATGCTAACGAGCAATGAAATAAAATCATCAAGAGACCATTCGTAAAACGTTATAACAATGTCAACGAAGT